ATATTTATTATAGTATTAAAAGTTTAATTAAAAAACCCAATTTATATTTTGAGAAGGCTTATCCTTAAACTTTTACACTATTAATTTGCTTACAGGACAACTCATGAAATACAAAAGGTTTATATTCATTTTTAATCCTTATTTTGCTAAAAGTGCCTTTGCCCATTCAAACTTGTTCTCTATAGGTCCATCGTCAAGGATATCGATCCAATGAGAGAATATCATTTGAATATGTCACCTGCAATGTTGCCTCTGTTGGTGTCCAGAACGTAATGCGAGCAGGTGCACATAAAACTTGCCTTTTACCTTGGACTCCAACCCAAAAGAATGAGAAACATGAGTGCCCTCAAGTCTTTCCCATGAATTGAAATTTTCACCATTGACAAAAGCAAACACATACATCTTGCCCCCAATTGTCATCATAATATGTCTGTAATTTTTTTACTTTCACTGTTTCTTTCCTCAGATATTTTTCTCTGCCTCGGATTCCTTCATCTCTTGCCATTTACCAGTAGCATAGCCACGTTTTCAAGATGTTAGTGGAATTGCCTGGCTTCCAGAAAAGCTAAGCGGGGAACAACTTTATGCAAAAGCACGGGAAAACAATTCAGAAAAAGCAATCATTAGCCCATAGAAGACAGAAAATGTCAGTATGTCACTGTGTGAATGTACAATTATTGAGTGGGTGAAAAATGTACAATTATTTACCAGCATCAGATACTAAAATATATAATTTCTTAATTTTAATATATTAATTAATTAAGATAATTTACTTAATTTTATGATTAATAAAATTAATTAAATTTAATTAAAATAAATTAATTATGTTTCTTAATTTTAATTTAAGATAATTATATTACTTAATTATCTTGATCAAAGATTAATAATATGATTAATTAATTTTAATTAATGTTAAATTAATCATTTAATAAGTTAATCATTATAATTAATTAATTTAAATCCTTAATTTTCTTTAATGGTGTCAAAGTCAAAATTATCTTTGTTTATTCCAAATTTTACCCAAAGCTTTTGTAATTAAGCAATTCAGTCCATAGGTTTCAACTCTTTTCAAATTAGTCCTTTATGTTTTGAATTTAACCAAATCAGTCCCTCATGTTTCGAATTTAGTCAAATTAGTCCCCTTAATTTTTACTTGTGTTCATTGTGCATGCATGTCTTTGATTTTTTCCATTTTAACCCAAAAATTTAAAAATGTCACAATTTGGTCTATCCTTTTTTCAGGCTTGCCTATTAAGACTTAAACATAAACATAATAAATAAGTTGAATTAAAACCCCAATTATAAAGTATGCAACCGTATTTAAACGGAGGATTGTGAAGTGCGCATATGCCATTCCTCACTCCTAAGTGAACTCCCGAACCCCGATCTCTGCACAGACCCATTTAAGTGACTTGTCCCACCTTATAATTTGGACGAGTGGCGACTCCCTTTTCTATTATATTTTTCACACTTAATAATTTTTCATTGTTTTTGTTTTGAAAAATCTTAAGTGGTCGTCAACAGTAATGGATAGCGATTAGTGGATAACGGGTGATAGATCGATAACAGAAAGTGGATAACGAATAGTAAATAACTGATTCGATCAATATAATTATTTGGTTACAAAATAAATAGCAGTTGTTATTAAA